ATCCAATGGCCTGCGAGCGACTGCCTCACCCGGGAAGAGCACAAGGATAATACCAACATGGGCCAGTGAAGCGACGTCCTCCACAATTAGACTGAAGAACAAAAGGACAGCAACTTGTCTGTTCCCCTTCCCTGATTCCCCATTAAAATCTTAAAAAAACAAAATCTAGAAAATTTAAAAAATAAAGTACTTTGCTTGAAATAATAGAGAAGTGTAACTAGTTAAGCATAAAGTAATGATAGCTTAAACAACAACAAAGATCACAAGATGTTTACTTTCTGCCTTTTGCTTTAAAGGTATCGTCACAGATGCATAATCCTGAGCCAGAGAGATCATTACCCAACCACAATGACGAAAGCTTCGGACAAGATGACATCAGGAACTAAATTAATCAGACAAAGGAAAACCACTGAAGCTTGCACAGGAACTAGCCAGTCAGCTTCACTCGTGACCCCCTAACACCTAACCCTCAATCTTTGCCTTTAAAAACCCTTGATTAAAAACCATCAGGGAGTTCAGGTGTTAAGCAATAGCTTCCTGTTCTCCTGGCTTGGTGACCTGCCAAAAAATTCCTTTAATTTCTCCTCTGTGAAACTCAAGTGTTCAGTGTTTGGCTCTGCTGTGCATCGAATGGCCAGACAATATTCGGTTCAATAACGCTGGTGATACCCCAGGAGAGTTCTGGAATTCCTCCCTTGCACCTTCTTGGCTTCCATGAGCTGATCACAGGGTTTCTGCTGGGAAATGACCAGTCTCCCATCCCATCTCAAAAGATAGGCAGGTGTCCCCACTGGACGGGGACATATGCATGCAAAGTTGTGCTGACTTCCACGGAGGAGGAAAAAGCAAGCAGCCAAGCCTCAGCTGCCAGCTAAATGTAATCTAGTTTAGGAAGGTTTGGAGAAAAGGTTTTACTGCTCCTTCCTCTACCCCACGCCCACAGTGGTCTCACCCCCGGTGTGGGAGGCAGGGGGTGGGGGGGGGCTGCACCAGCTTCAGTCAGGCTTTTCAGCTCCAACCTCACCCTTCACCGTTACTTTGGGCAAGTCGTTTTCTCTCTCTGAGCCTCCATTTTCCGTCTTTAATTCTGTAGCCTTTAGTTTTCTCATCTGTAAATGCAAATAACAAAATCTGTTTGACAGAGCTATTTTGAGGATGAATATGTGAAAAGAAATGGTTAAATACGTTAAGTGAAAGATGTAGGTTAAAAAGTGCCATGATCTCAATCATATTAGAATAAGTATATATGTATAGGCTCAAACGTTACTGCACAGGAAATACCCAGCCCATTTGTGACAGACTCAGGGGAACAGTGGGGGCTAGTGACGAAAAGCACGCACTAGAGCTAGACTGGGTACAAATCCCCGTTCCACCCCTTCCTACCTGTGTGGATGTGAGTCAATCACCTCACTTCTCTGTACCTCAGTTTCCTCAACTAGAAATTGGAGACAATAATAATAATAATCAATACCTACCTCCTGAAGATGGTTGCCAAGGAAATACCAGTGACATACACCATGTCCGACACACCGTAGGCACGCAATAAATGCTGCAGCTCTCTGTGGGCAGTGCTCACAATGATTTTCAGGCTTTCGTAGAACTTCCCGAGGTTCCTACATCAATTATGAGTTACTTCCACATCTCTGGGGGGAGTGGGTGGGAATTTATACGAACTGTAACCAATTATGAGTTACTTCCACATCTCTGGGGGGAGTGGGTGGGAATTTATACGAACTGTAACATGTGGCAAGTGACTGGCACAAAGTGACCTCTTGAGTAACTTGGGTGCCCTGTCCCACCTCCCACCCAGCAAGTTCCTTCCCTCCCTGACACCGTGTGAGAAAGGCATGGAGGGTCTGATCCAGGGTCACCACAGCAAGGCACAGACGCTTGTATGGCCGGGAAGATGTCTACTGACGAGGAGAAAGGAGTTGGAGCTGGTAAGGGCAGGCGGTGCTGCATGAGGGACGTGAGCTGTGGGGGGGGGAAGATGGGGGTTCTGACTGAGTTCCCCCTGGTGTCCTCAGGGAGGTGTGTTTGGGGGCTTTCTGTCTCAGTGGTGACCAGAGACACAAGGTGAAGAGAGCCAGGTGGAATCTAGCACGTGGCTATAGGGGTGCTCACTATAAAATTGATTCAATTTTGCTGCTTGTTTGAAGTTTTTCCTAATTATATGTTGGAAAACGTATTAGCCAAGGGGGAGATAGACAGAATGAGAATGAGAGGGGGGGATGGAATGAGAACGAACAGTGTCTGAGAGAGATCCCAGAGACTGTCCATGGGCTCAAGCGTGTCACACAGTTTCAGGCAATTAACTCACTTGGACGTCACATCGGCCATCCTTCTTGCTTTCCAGATGAAGAAACCTCTGTTGGCTCAAGGTCACCCATCCAGGACAGTGCTCCTGTCACAGCACTGATCTACCTCATGTTTTGGATATAAAACAACAGAGGATTTTTTCCCCCCAAAATGTCCTTCTCAAGTAGAAAGTTCTGTATGTCTTGGACTCATCCAGATGGGTAAAGACCAGGGTGGGTGGGGCTGAAGGAGCTGTGGGCTGACCCCCATGGGAGGAGAGGTGTTCAAAAAGCCTAAGTGGGGTGACTGGCCCCAAGGGACAGGCCTGCCCCACCCTGAAGAAGCCTGATGTGTGAAAACCCCCATCATGTGCTCCTTGCAGAGGGATTTATTAGAAAGCCTCTCCAGAAGGACTTAAGTCAGTTTTGTCACATTGTCATATTTTAGCCCATCACTTTCTCAGAGTCCCCCTCCCCCACCAAGCAGCAACTCATGATGAAAATACACCAGGGTGAAGTGATAGGACTGCAGGCACTAGAGGCTTGGGCACACTTGGCTTTCACCTCTGCTCTGCTTCCTGCTAGCTGGTGACACTGGTCACGACACTTGGATTCTCAGTTGCTCAGTTTCCTTACCTGTAAAATGGCGAATTACCTCACCAGGCTTTGGGGAAATGAACTAAGATAACATAACACCACAGGCTTAATACAGTGTCTTGCATGTAGAAACACACAATAAATGATACGTGATGTTGCTGTTTTTGTTGTGGTAGTGTGTTGTTTATTTTATTAATTTTTAAAGACTCATCCACTTAGAAGATTTCACAAGAGGCAAGCAACATCCGTCTCCTCTAAACCTCAGTTCCCTTCTCTGGAAAATAAGATGAGAAACTCCCACTTCAAAGGTTGTTGTGAAAACGTGGGATTAATGTTGTAAGTTGCCTGGCTTACAGTCAGAAAGGGCCATGCTACCAGGCCCCCTCCTGCACCCAGGGCAGACATTACCAGTTGAGCTTGCATGCTGCCTTGGCATTTTTGTCAATGCATGAGTGAAGGTGAGGGCGGAGATGAACTCTATTTGCCATCCTTGGCTTGCGCTCAATGAACATTAATTCCCATGATCCTTTTCTATCACCTTTCCTTCCCAAATAACTAACCTCCATGTGCTGACCTGGTTTGGTGAGAGTTTCAAGCTGGATGAGGCTGTGCTCATATTGTAGGGGCCCATGAATTATATAGGGCTCCAAAGACATGTTGACACCTGTGTCCCTTACCATCCAGAGGTTCTTGGGTTCCCCAGAAAAAGCATCCTAGCTAGGGAAAGGCCCCCCTCCCCAATAGGGTTAGGGTATCCCATCAGTGGAGGTATGGGGACTGAGGTTCCAGGAGCTCTAAATCCCTCACATCCACAATCAGTGATTAAAATTTCTCCTTCAAAGCTTTATACCTTGGCCCTCACACATTCTGAAAATGAAAACACCGTGGGAAGAGTAATTCCATAAGCTATTTCAGTTATTTATTATACTGTTAGGAGCTGAGAGTTGACTTTGAGAGAGGCCTGAGTATACCTAGGACTGGGGAAACCTATGAGAAATGGAATTAGTTCTGAAAAATAAAATTTGACTATAGAATTCTAGAACAGTGCTGAACTTGAAGGTAGGCAGAACTGAGTTCAAAGTCAAGCCAGAACACAATTAGCTGTGTGACCTTGGCCAAGTCCCTTAACCCCTCTGTGGCCAAATTTTCTTCTGTGTAAAAATGGGATAATAATGGGCCTTATTTTTTGTACTATTATTAAAGCTCTCTCCTTACTTTAAAATCCACTATCAAATAATATAATAGGCAGAAAAGTGCTGCATAATAAATTTCCCACTAGTCAGTGGGTGGTTTATTACAGACTCAGTTATGAGAGAAATCCAACTCTAACTAGCTGAAGCTGTATAAAGGAACTTATTGGCTCATGTAAGTAAAAACCAGAGATGCAATAGCTTCAGGCTACGCAGGATCCAGGACATGAAATCATATTTTCCTGGCAGTCTCATCATTTCTCATCTCTGCTTCATTCTAGGCTGACCTAATTTTCTCCTACTGCATACAGTTTCTTCCATGTGGCCAGGGAAGATGGCCATCAGCTGCAATAAATAAATTTCCTCCCAGCTGAACAACTCCAGGGCAAAAGAGAGTTTCTGTCCTCCCCCACCTTCCCCCCTCCCCCCCATCATCATCATCATCATCATATCAATCCCAGGGAAAATTCTAAAATTCTAAATGGCACTGTTTTGGTCATGGGCCTCCGCCTTGGAACAATCACTGTTGTCAGGAAATGAAACACAGTGGTTGGTCCAGTCTGAGTTACTGACCTACCTCATAACTAGGGGTAGGTAGGGGGGATGGACCTTATGACTGACAGCCCCATGAGACCTACATGCCTGGGGGAGGGGCAGGAGTAAAGCTTCTGGATAGTCAAAACCCAGAGCTAGCCGGTGGGTCTCTCCAGAAGGCCCAAGTTGCCTCATGAGAGAGAGAATGTCAAATGAGCTAGGGCTGCCACATGGCCCTTCAGTGGAGGAATAAAGCTGTATCCACTGCCACGTTTTCCGTATGCCCACCACATTTTCAACACCCTGTGATATTTGAGAAATTTGCAGCCTTGCGAGCCCCATCTTCCCATGGCAGGACACAAAAATGTGGGCTTCACAGCCTTCCTTCCAGCTGAGATACCAGCACGTGACCCCGGTTCCACCAATCAGACTCGCCCAGCGGAGGTTTGACTAAGGAAGTGCGAACTTGAGGGAGGCGGGTCTGTGAGGTGAGGCTGCNGGGGGGCTCAGTTTAGGGAGGCGTTCTTGGTGCGGAAATGTCTAGCGGAGCAGCAATAGCGGTGGCATTTTGCTCATCCAGCAGTTTCTATGGCCTTCTTGGGGCATTGATCCTGGAAGCTTAGCTCTGTCGAGCCAGATCCGCCAGCCCCTCAACTAATTCTGTGAGTTAATATCCTTTTTATAGGCTCCTTTTCTGCTTAATCAGCCAGAGTGTGTTTCTGTTGGTTGCAACGAAAAGGCCCTGATTAATAGATACTCTAATCCTCCTGGGCAGGTACCAGATGGGAGAGCTCCCCTGGAAGGGCTGTTTTCCGCATTTGCCAGGGAAGACCCAATGGGGACCAGAGGAGTAGGGCAACTCAAGGCAGACCAGGGCCGTGCTGTCAAGGCACCTGCTAGGCCAGCCCCAGCCCCCGCCCCGGCCCTGGCCCCAGGATCTTGTACCAAGTTCTTAGGGAGAGGATGGCTGACACGAAGACAAACTAAGTCAGATGAAAAAGCAATAGGACTGGATATACATGGATGACCTAGCATTACTTATGTATGTAAGTATGTATTTTATTGAGGCAACATTCATATAACAGAATGAGTCATTTTTAAATGTACAATTCAGTGGCATTTAGCACATTCACGATGTTGCACAACAATCATCTCTAGCTAGTTCCAAAACCTTTTCACCACCCCTCAGAGGAGACCCCATACCCGTTAAGCAGTCATTCCCCATTTTCCTCTCCCCCTAGTCCCTAGGAATCATTAGCCTGCTTTCTTCCTCTACATATTTACTTATTCTGGATATTTCATATACATGGAATCATACAATATGTGTTATTTCGTGTCTGGCTTATTTCACTTGGCATAATGTTTTTGAAGCTCATTCATGTTGTAGCGTGTATCAGTACTTTAGTCCTTTATATGGCTGAGTAATACTGCATTGTAGGGATAGACCACATTTTATTTATTCATCAGCTGACGGACATTGGGGTTGCCTCCACCTTTGGGCTGTAGTGAACAGTGCTGGAAGAAGAAGGAGAGAGTGACCATGGGGTAGGAATGTTGGAGTCCATTGGGGTGGCATCAGTGACCCAGCCCTAAGGCAATGACACAAGCAACATCTTCAGCCTAGAGCAGAGATACCGACAGAGTCTTGGAACCCCCTGGTGAATTCTGGGGGTGACCAAAGGACCCGAGACAAATGCCAGGAGGGAGGAAAAGAGGTCTGTGGTAGCTAACACCTGTGAGAGTCTCTGGGAGCTTTGAAGAAGAAATGGTGGGTCTGAAGGGGGAATTGCAGTCATTTTGCCAGAGGCCGGTATAGCATAGTCAAGTACAGTTCTGGATGCAAACAGGCCAGTTTCTTGAGTCCTGACTCACTCATCAGCCATGGAATGTTGAGAAATTATTTCAGCCTTCCAGATCTCAGTTCCTCTTTTGTAAAGGGGCTACTGGCCATGCCTTCACAGGGTTGTTGTGAGGATTAAGTTAGATAATGTAAGGAAAGCACAATAATGGACACCTGATACTCTCTTA